TCATTGAGACGAGGAGCGCGAATCCGTGATACCGATTGCCAAATGAAGGCGGTGACTGCATCGTCAGTGCTGACGAATCCTGACTTGATCGTCTTCATAGCGAGGCTCTTCAGAGACGAGAGCGAGCTGGCTGGGAAGTTGAAGTAGGCCCATCCACACTTTGGCGGGCCCGCGGGAGCTCCCTCGATGGGTTCAGTTTTCCGGAAGGCTGCAACTTCAGAATCGGGGATGTCGTGGTCAAACAAGGGAATGATGTTGTGCTTCGGCATGTTGCCGGTGGCGATCTCCTCGGCGGTGAATGGCTCATTGCGGCATGCCTTCGATAGCAAGTGAATGATCTGAGTCTGACCGATACCATCTAATGTCTGATGCTGACCCAGAAACGTGAGAATAACGCCACCGCGGATAAATGTGGCTTGCGTGATGAAGACAGGTTCTGGCTCTGAGGCTAGCGCGGGGTCGATGGGCAGGGTCGGTCGGGGCGCAACGACGCTCTCATCGAGCATTCTGAAGGGAAAGTTGGCTTCCTTGAGACCCTGCATGGTTGGTGCTAAAGGGTCGCTCCGAAGGTCTTTGATGACCAGGGGTGGTGTTTCCTTCAACGGTCGAATCTTGAAGACACCGGTGTTGCCTTCGCTGGCGCCTTCGTTGACGACCTGGCCTGCGATCCATGGGAAGTTCTCGGCTAGTCTCTTGAGTCCATCTTCAAGAGTTCTGGTGATTTTCGGGTACAGAGAGTCGTCGTCGACTGCAAAGCAGATTGCGATTTGGGTGTAGATGTTGAGTCCTGACTGCTGGCCCTCGACCGGCTCGTCCATGATTGGGGGACTTGGTTTGGGTGGTGATTGTGGTTGTAATTAGGACGGCTTCTGCCAATCCAAAGGAATCTTCCAAAAGCCCGGACGATGCTGGCTTTCCCAGAGGCGATGCGCGTCTGAAGTAGACAGAAGGTTGGAAGTTGAAAGAAGTGAAGTCGTTTTGTATTGAGTCCAGTTGAGATGTCAACCAGAAGGCGCTACCACATCGAGCAGGCTTGACCCTGGAAAATGGGCCTAACGCTGTAAAAGGCAGCTGCAGCCCAGCCATCCAAGCTTATGATTGACTCACCTGTCAGCTTGTTCATGATGACTCATAACTGCTCACTCCAATCTGACATACACTGGTTGATATGGGCCAAAAGCGCGTGTGCATGATTGGAAAATGAACATCTCAATTTGCAAAGGCCAAGAAGAGATGTCTTCGTCGACTCTGGTCGGATTGAATGTGATACGCTCAGGAACAGCTCCGTGAGCTGAAAAGCTGTGCCGCATTAATCCATGAACCGCTCCGGGGTTCGAATCCTTCTGTAAGACACAAGACTCGCCCTGCGAAAATTCAACGGAAGGCTGCTGTGCCCGTAAGACGGTATCGGCTCGCTAAGCCTGCCCAGTCGTCTTAGCCCCAAGTTCCACGGTGCGTTGGAGCCCCGGCGCCGATGTGGGCTCTTCCGGGCGGCGGTGCATCGGTGTCAAAACCGCCGATGACTTTTTGAGATGACGGCTGGCGAGTTGAGAGTCTTTCCGGGTTGAGTCTACGAGTTCTGGTATTTAGATCTCAAGCCTCTGCACATTGGGCATCTGCCAAGAGCACACATCGGCACACACTGTGAAGGCAAGCCATCGCTTCTCTGGAAACTTCATTCTAGAACAGTTAATCATGGCATACAAAACCAAAATCTCGACATAACAGACGCTCTCAACAACACAAAAATCATCAAATGGCTGAAATACAGGGCCCTTGCGATCCCAGATTCAAAGAACTTCACACTCATCTGAAACAACTCGTTGACTCTGGGGAAGAAGTCGGCGCGGCGATCGCCGTCAACCTCGACAGCCAAGATGTTGTGGATATTTGGGGTGGTTACGCCGACAAAGAGAACAACCAACCCTGGAACAGGGACACCATCGTCAACATCTTCTCCACGACGAAGAACGTCCTGAGTCTCGCCATTCTCATCCTCATCGACCGCAAAGTCTTCTCAATATACGACAAAGTCTCCAAACTGTGGCCAGAGTTCGCCGCGAATGGCAAAGAGAACATCGAGATCCGCCATATCCTCTCGCACACATCTGGAGTCTCAGGCTGGGATGCCGACCGTCCCCTTTCATTTGAGGAGATCTCCAACTTGGACGAGGCCAACGCCAAACTTGCCGCACAAGCGCCTTGGTGGACACCGGGCTCGGCTTCCGGCTATCATACCTGGACTTTCGGCCATCTTCTCGGCGAAATTATACGTCGTGCAACCGGGAAAGCACTCCAGGAATTTGTGATGGAGGAGATTGTGGCGCCTCTTGGGGCGGACTTCCAATTCGGTGTTGTGGAGCGCGACCTGCCACGAACATCGGACGTCATCCCGGCTCCTCTTCCCAAGCTTCCCCCCGGTGTTGGCCCTCAACCTGGCTCAATAACCTTCAGAACAATGAATCCAATGCCTTTCCCGTCAAACTTTGCCAATGACGCATCATGGCGTCAAGGCCATGTTCTGTCAGCAAGTGGACACACCAATGCCCGAGCTCTTGCGCGGATTCTTTCAGCCATCAGTCTTGGTGGGAGCGTCGACGGGAAGAATGTTTTGTCGGGAGAGACGATTGCCAAAATATTCGAGGAGCAGTCGAATGGAGTTGATTTAGTCACCAACATGCCTCTTCGTTTCGGTGTTGGGTACGGAATTACTGGTGACGGCAACACAGCCGTAAGCGAGTGGCTGCCGAACGGACGTGTCTGCTTCTGGGGAGGAATGGGCGGCTCTTTCGCTGTCATGGACCTGGACAGGAAACTCACCATTACGTATGTCATGAACAAGATGTCAATGACGGGACTAGGTAATGACGCGTTGAAAGAACATGCGAAGATCATCTACAAGGCGCTGGATCAGGCATAAGTGATGAAAGCCAATGGGTTGCTCATTATTTCAAATTAATCAAGCCCTCATATTTCTTAACAAGACTTTGACTTGCTTCTTTACCAAACGCACTCAAAAATTGATCAACATAATTCAACGCTTCTTTGGAATGAGCCATTTCCACATGGAAGGCTTCTCCCACCTGTTCATCTAAGTATCGAGGGGATTGATGAGGGCCAAGAAAACGTCTTAATACCAACAAAACTGTCCTTTTTCCAAAAGGCCCTGGATAATACCGTGGCTTTGCTAATTGCAAGGCTGGCTTGCATGCACCACCTTGCGGTAATTTTCGAAGTGCCGTTTCAATGGATAGGTAGCAAATCGATGAGGACATCCATGCTGTCATCGACTTCTGAACCCTTCACTATTTATCGCACCTTTGTTGTATGCAAAGAGGTTCCGGATGGCGCTTGGAGCTCGAGGCATAGCTTCGTTTTATTGATGGGTCAGTTTGCCGACTTTGAACTCACGCTATCTGTGGGAACACTTGAGATCACATCCGCCCTCCTTCCCACCATGCACGAAATACGAAAATACATTTCCATCTGCTGTCTACAAGTCTGGTTCCCCACGATCATCCGCCATTACCACTTGGTCGGCCCTCAAGGGTCCGAAATCTTCCGTTGCCAGTCCGGTATAGCCCGGTCGAAAAGCGAACTGTGAATGGCCGGTTGGCGAGTTTTCATCGCGATGGCCACGGTCTAACCTACGTGTTCATCCGGTGCGGTTCCAGCATCCCTATCCGACTGGTAGTTATATATATATAAATAATTCTCTTCGTTTGTATCGGCGGAGATTCTGAAAGTAGAAAGAAGAAAAACGTGAGACTCAGAGGCGGTCATCCCCATGCCATGTTTCCAGATGCATCCCGCCAATGGTAGGAGGCGCAATGCTTTCTAGATGGTGAATCTGCAAGTCTAACCACAGCTCTATGAAGCGGTTCGATTTCATCTTGAACCAACCAAAGTACTGCTGGGGCACACGGCTGCGGTCTCGACCGATGTGTCGCGAGGCCACATAGTCCGCCTCGACGCATTTGATCCAAAAATCCCCGGTAGCGACGTCGGTTGGCACCTCGCCGTCGGCGACGAAGAACATCTGTCTAAGAGCCCAGCACGCGTTCGAAAGTGCCTTGCCCTTGCGGACATTCTCGGCGTGGACTTGACGGAGTCGATTCAAGTCGGCTCCCTGGAGCGTTTCGGGGTCAGAGTGGACGCTGAGACGGAATAGCGACATCAGATTCTTTGCGGCCTCGACTTCTTCCTCGTTCTCATTGGTGTATCGGCCTTGGATCTGGAGGCGTACGTGGGTACGGACATCTTCCACGAGTGCCTCCCACGCCCTGTCCGAGTCGGGGCCGCCGTGGGCAGTGCGGTAAATGTTGAATCCCCATTCCTTGTAGTCATGGTCTAGATTCTCGTCTGGGTCGTCGATCTGGTCATCCGGAACTTCGAGCAGGGAAGTGAGCAGGTCTGATAAGAGGGGAGGGTCATTCATGGCCGGAGATACCAGGACAACTGTTTTTTTCTTTCCTCTTTCTGAACTTACAATGGCAAAAGGGGCTGATGATGTGCTCTTTTCTTCTTTTCTTTTTCCCCTTTTCCTTCGGGTTTGTTGGGTGGTGGATGTTGAAAGTCGGATGTAGAGATGCAAGTTGAAGGAGGGCGGCTGTTCAACCCAACCCCGCTAAGGTGTACGTATCTCGGCCCCTTGCCCTTGACCCCTACGGAAACAATTAAGAGTGAGGCGAGCCGCTGGAGGAATCAGGATCTGAATCGCATATTAGATGGTCACTATCTTGGCCCAATTTTGGTCTCTCAGCCCTTTCCGTTAAATCATCAATAACCTCATAGTATGGTGAATACATCGAAGTCTCAAGGAATCCGGTGTCATGCACAAGGTCACATGATTGAACGCAAGCACTGCCAGTGCACGCTGATTTATGGGTCGCTTTGATAATCCTATCAAACACAACCCACCCCGGCCTTAACTCTATTGACTGCACATCAACTCCCAGTCTCCGAAACCACTTGATCATAGTATTTATCATACAGCAAGAATGCCAGTGTCCGAAGAAGCCACAAAACAACTGCTTGATGGCATCCCGTCCCGCGTGCGGGGGCCGGGCGGCGCAATCGCCGTACTCAAAGACGGCAAGCTCATCGGGCAACGGGTTTGGGGCTACGCCGACCTCGTCCGCAAGGTCCCCATGACTGCCGAAACTCTACTGCCAATCTGCTCAATCTCAAAGCAGATGCTATGCGCTCTCATGTACGATTTGGAGCACAATCCACCCGCCAGCTTGGCCGACAAGGGTGACGTCAAAGCGAAGTTCTCAGACAAGATGACAGCACTTCTGCATCCAAAACTGACCCGTGATGGAGCCCTGACGATTGACCATTTGGCCAACAACCAGTCGGGCATCCGGGATTACTGGGCTCTAAGCGTGCTATGGGGAGCTCAGCCGGAGGACCGCTTCTCGATTGCGGACCACAGCAAGCTCATGATTGAGCGACTCCAGTCGTTCCACTTCGAGCCCGGTATGGAGTACTCATATGCCAACACAAATTTCCACATCTTGGGCCGAATCGTGGAACAAGTAACCGGAAATTCGATTGCTTCGTTGCTTGAACAACGCATTTTTGGCCCGGCAGAGATGAAGACCGCACGGCTCACGGCCGATACTACACAGCTGCCACCTCCGTGTGTCGGATACGAAGGAGATGAGCAGCGCGGATTTTTACCTGCCGATAACAAGATCGAGTGGGCTGGCGATGCCGGCGTTGTTGCCTCGCTCAACGATATGATTGCGTACGAGCAATACTTGGACCGCATCTCAACCGAGCGGGGTAGTTGGTACGAAGCGGCTTTGAAGCAGCCGCTGTACAAAGACGGGACACCGGCAGGTTATGCTCAAGGGCTGGGCCACGGCAAGATCGAAAGCGTCAAAGTAGTCGGCCACAGCGGCGCATTGCGCGGTTTCCGTCTCTACCGAGTCCATGCTCCCGAAGAACGGATCTCCGTTGTCGTCTTGCTCAACCACGAGGGCGGCTCAGCAGCGCCAGCCGAGGAAATCATCCGAGGCCTGCTTGATTTGAAGAAATCTGAACCTGCCCGGGTGGACGCAGACGCAAGCTGGTTCGGCACGTTCCTTGACGAAAAGACGCAGCTCGCCATCACCGTGTCCCACGGCGCGAAGGGCAAGGTTAACATTTCCTACGCCGGGTCCGCGGAGGCGATCAGCCTCAAGGATCCGAAGCTCGCCGAGTCGCCTGGGATGGTGGCCAAGATTGATGGGAATCAGCTCAAGATTCATCGTGTCAAGGAGAATCGGGCCCTGAAGGCGTCCCGCATCTTGCAAGCAGGGACGGTTAATTACTCTGCGTTTGGTGGCGACTTTTACTGCGCTGAGATTGAGTCAACGTTCCATTGCCGAAACGAAGGCGGGATGCTTTTTGGTTCATTCAACGGCTATCTGGGACACGGTCCAGCTCATCTTATGAGGTATATCGGACAGGACGTCTGGTTGATGTCGTGTCCGCGCGGGATGGATGCACCGGCCCCCGGCGATTGGACTGTCGTGTTCCATCGAGGAGACGACGGTTCTGTGTCAGGTGCTACCTTCGGTTGCTGGCTAGCTAGAAAGCTGGTGTTTACCAAGTCTGTAGATATTCCGCGGAGATAACAACTCTTTGTTTTCTTCTCTCTAGGTCTAGACAATGTGCATGCACAGCACCTTCACGAGTGGTCTCTTTGTGTGAAGTCAATGCGTCCCTTTGCGAATCTCTGTGATTCCATGATCAATGCTAAATCAACGTCCATAAACAAGGACTTTAAGATCTATGCTTCTTTGTGCGCTTTGCTCGTCTAACCCAAAGTCTCGTTGTCTCGCAACTGATTCTCTGTTCTTTCTCAAGTATTATGATGGAAAGATGCATGCTTTATTTTTTCAGTTGCTTGTATACCCAAACGACTATCATAAAATTTGGATGAACCTGGATGCATCGCCTTCTGGCAGGAACCTTCTGGCCATTACCAACCAGCTGACAGAATACAGATTTACATATCCGAGTAGCACGAAGATCATCAGACTAACGTATCCCTAGAACCAGACAATACCTGACATCAACAACAATCATGTGCCAACAGCTAGAAGAGCTCCTCGTCTGCTGCTCCTCGGCCTGTCGCTCGGAGGAGCACGGTATCCGCCTACCCCTCCTCCGCCTCATTCCTACACCGAATCCGTTCTACGTCCTCTGTCAAAAAGCCAGCCAGATGGGTTACCGTCCAGATGCCAACTGTCTAGGCCGCCTGGTCCTGAGCCAGCGTCCCGATCAATGCCCCGATTACCGCGCAGCCCCCGACGCCAAGACTAACAACATCCTCTCATGGACCGCATCGCGAGACATTATGACACGATCCAACTTCCCAACCCACATACACTGCGCCGCCTGCTTAGGTATCGGTCACGGCGGCGTGGTTAACATCCAGCCAGCCTACATGCAACCAATTGGCCAGACAGGTGCGATGCCGCTTCATATCACCATGAACGTCACTGGGGTCCGCAATCGTTGGATCCGAGGTGAGTGGACTTGTTGCTCCAAGGGCGAGTGTCAGCCCGGAAACCTCTGTGAGTATCGCGCCGCCGCCGTTGTTGCGGCCATGCAACAGAACGAACTTGCCCGAGAACGCGCACGAGCTGAAGAGCAGGCTCGCCAGGAAGCTGCTCTCGCTCTCTTTGACTTAAGCCAGTCCGGTACTACCTTCCCTACCCAAGCACCTCGCCCGTCCCAAGCCCCTCAAACTGCACCTTCGGAGCCGGCAGTTGATCCAGGGGATGGAATGGAATTTGAATATGACATCCCGCGCGCGGATGCTGCAGCGCCCTTTGATAATGTAATTGATGATGATGCTAACCCAGCACAGGCTGATAACGGCGAGGGATCTTCTTCAGATGCACAGCCCAAACCATTTGGTGTCGCCGAGAATGGCGAGGTTATCTACGATTGCATTGTGGTTCGAGACCCGTGCATGGATGGCTGTGAGAAGTGTAATTTTGGGAAGAATAAGCGTCGTCGACATCAGTAGACAGCTTGTTCTGGTGGGGGAAATAACTCTTGCGGGCAGGTAAGCCAATGTAAAGGTTTGTATGTTCGCTCCTCTCTTATCAATTCAATAAGTTCATCTCAATTCCATCTCAGAAAGAGGAAGGTTTCATTCCTGCGGAATATTTTCGCGGAGATAAGGACTGGACGCTCAACGCGCGTTGCAGTGCTAGGGAACTCAAAAGATTAAACGGGCGTCTGAACTATCGCGGTCGCAAAATATTAACCATGTCTGTAGCTTTGACATTTACTAGGTCTGGTCCTCTCTAAATTGGGGGCATCCTGAGATCGAGGAGGTGGTTGAGGTGACATCGGCGTTGCATGCGACGGTTCTCCTCATTGTGTTTGATTCGAGAAGTAGGGGCTTTTGTTTCATGGCGACGACGACGATGACGACGCTTGCGATCGGCAATACCAGTATGAAGCATGTATGAGAATTGAGTACGCAGACTTCTAATCGAGCGGTCTGGTGGTCTCAAAGATGCATGGTGATGTTGAAAATAGGCCTTCACGAGATGCCATCGCAACTCATGGCCAAGAAATCATCATTGAACCGGCACCCGCGTGTTTGACGTCAGATGACCGGGAGGACCGGATAGAAGGTGCCGGTGGTGGACCGGTACAGATGCGCTGGCGGGGCCCCTGGTCGGTTTTTTTCTGCGGAGGACATGAGCTTGATCGCGGCGATCACTGAAGGACGGCTTCTTAGGCGACGTCAGTATGTCTCTACGTTGCGGTGGAGGGTTGATCGCCCTTAGCGGCAGATCTCATGATGTCAAGGCCCGAAAATGGTTTCTTGCAGTCTGCAGAGTTGGAAGAGAGAAAGTCATGGGACAGACTGAGGATGTCATCAGGAAAAGCTCTTCCTTTCCGAACTGCAGTTCATCTGGTCAACCCTGAACAAACGAGACCCAAGCTTTCATGCGCTGGGACGCTAGAATAAACATGCAGTGCTGAGAGCTGAGCCCCCTTTTCTCGGCAAATGCTCTTGGGGGTGCATGGTTTGTGCCTGTTGCCTGGCTGGCGAAATGTAAAAAAAGACAGAGGCAACAGTCCCCATTGAGGGAGCAGGAATGAACAAGGGACTGTGCTGTAGAGGGCTGCTCTGCTGCATTTCCATCTCATGTCGGGGTGTTCATGCGCCATATTGTGGCAGCGGCAGCGGCTTCGGGCGGCGCACAGAAATGGTGTTCGCGTGGGCGCAGGGGCACTCAGGGAGCGGGCCGAGTGAGCTCACGCACGCTGGACATTCTGCTCTTAGCATTGCGCTTAATGTTAAGTTTTGCCATCAACTGTTCCCGATGGCCGATATCACTGGAGCGGCAAGTTGCGAGAAGGCTCCATCATCCCCCATGTTCTCCTTTACGCCCGGCTACACCGACTCTCGTCCGCAGCCTCGTGACGAGAAGACGAGAAGGCAGTCGCGGGATTAAACTGCGCTTCCTGTGCCTCCTGGGCGCCTCGGTCCAGCCACCTTGGCAAACTGCCGGCAGCCCGCTACGCGGCCCGTCGCAGCCATTGGCACCGTTACCTGCTTAGGGTTGTTCTGCAGGTATCATCGCTAGCCACGGCGGGCGACGCGGTAAGGGAGAGACTAGGAGAACAAGCCCGTTCAACGGCTTTTGATCGTCCTGATCACGTTGGCCGACGCAGCATTTGCTTCATCGTGGTGGTGTGGGAGCGAGGAGCAGTTCCATTCATGACAGGCCTTGTCCTTGAACTCCTTGGCACGTCGGTGGGGCCAAGAAGACGATGGGTCATTTTTCTGTGTCCCTCGCGGACTTTTCGTTCATTCAATGCGACCAATCGACTCCGTTCCAGCTGGATCCGTCGTCTCCCATTGGCGGTTTGCCCTCAGCATGTCAGCATTTCCCACGAGGAAGCTGATGTCTGCCTGGCATTGACCCTTTGGAAATTGCCCGTTCATGTTGGTTGCGAGTGGGGAGAGCGACTGGGCTGAGTATGAGCCCGAGGCATGCCCTGGGCTGGACTGGGCTGTCATGACCTTGTCACCCCGTTGGCGTTCGGCCTTCGTCGTGGGCGTATCCGCACCCGTCCATTCGAAATGGCGAGCGCGACAGCCCCGACGCTATATGAAGCTGCCACCCACCCCTCTTGAAGCGCCGTTTGTCATGATGTGTCTTGTGTTGTTGTCTGTTCGTCCTTCGTCCTGCTCCCGGCTGTCATTATGAGGTTCTCCATCGCCAGTGCTGTCGCCTTCGCTGCCCCGCTGGCCCTCGCCACTGACTCTCTCAATTACACGGGAGCCGCCGCGGGGCAGGTCATCAAGGACGGCGTCGAGCTGCGCATCCTGCCCGTCGGCGACTCTGTCACCGTGGGGTATCTCAGCACCGATGGGAATGGCTACAGGTTGAAATTGCAAGAAAACCTGTCTGGTGAGTTAATCTGTTCTTCACTCACTCACATGAGAGCGGTATCTAACATTTCCCAGCCAATGACGTCGTCTTCGCCGGAACTGAATCCTTTGGCAACATGACCGTTCCGTACTTTGTAAGTCAGCAGTGCATCTCCCGCTTCACCGATATTTCATATTTGCTTACCATGTTCAAGGCTGCTTGGTCTGGAAAAACGATCCAGTACATTGCGGATAACGTCCCTCCATCCCTGACGCAGCGCCCAAACGTCATTCTGCTCCACGCCGGCACCAATGACATGAACCCGAACCCCGACATCTCCACCGAAGGCAACGACCCTGCCGCCGCCGCCGCACGGCTCGGGGCCCTGATCGACCAGATGCTCGAGGCCTGCCCGGATGCCACCGTTCTTGTCGCGCAGATCATCAACACCTGCGTTGCAGACCAGCGGCCCCAGACCGAGGTCTTCCAGGGACTCATCCCGGATATTGTGGAGCAGCGAGGAAATGCTAGCAAGCACGTTCTTGCTGTTGATTTTGCGGCGCTAGGCGACGGCATCCTACGTTCTGACTGTATCCATCCCTCAGATGAGGGATATCGCACCATGGGAGACTATTGGTACGATTTCATTACACAAATCCCCAAGGATTGGATCACTCAGCCGGTCGGAGACGACCCTGACAGATCCGCCGATGCAGCGTCGGCCAAGAACGTCACAAGCTCTAGCGGCGCCAATGCCGTCTTCAAGGATGATTTGATGCTTATTTTAATAGCTCAAGTATTGTTAACGATAAACGTAATATATAATTGAGTTAAACTTGACATGAAGTTGGTCCAACGGTTGTGCGATGAAGATAGTGAAGTCGTGAGCCTCTAGCAGTTAGTGTCTTTCTCAACGTATGAGTTGCGCATGAGTGAATTGACCTCTCATTTGAATGAGAGAAGACCTTGTATGTCCCAGTATGAAGGAGAACTTAGTCGATTCAACTTTTGTCCGCATTTTTATGGATTACAATGTTATTTGCACTGAACGGGGCTATTCGACCACGTCATAACGTCGCTTTTTATCTCAGGCCCTTCTCTCACTAACATAAGACAGGGGCACGTAACACATCTCACAATAAAAAGCCACCGCGATCAAAGAGTTGATCATGTCGTCCAATAACGCATCTTGGCAGTATTATAGGTACAAGCCATCATTAATGCGTATTTGGTCTCACTATCGGGAGGTGAATTAATGAAACGCAAGCATGCGCCTAACGAATCTTGTCTAACTGAAGCTTCTCCTCATACCCCGCCAGATACAAGCCGCGTCCACGTAAATCCCTCCTCTCATCCAATCGGCAACTGAACGCAGACTCGTGGTCTAAAGCAATCAGCCAGGCCTGGAACAATTCGCGATGGTTCCGACCCCGCCTTCTTGATCGATGAGATGCGACCGTTGTTGTCTGGTCATCCTTGCCACAACGGCTCGGGGGCCATCATCGATGCGGGGCTACTCACCGTGCACTTGGTGATGGTGTCCCTGAGACTTTCGCCGGAGACCGTGAACCCCTCAGTCGGGCATTCGGATGACGTTGGACTGTCATATGCCCCTCAAATCATGAGAACTCAATGAGAATATATCAGTTGACGTTCGCCCTCTGCCCAGCCTTACAACCGTAAGCATACTTACTATCGTAGGTATACTTGGCACCCAGTAAGACTTCGAACGCTCACACTACTACCATCAGCTGTAACCAAGAACACCGTTGTTGAAAATTTCACAATGTCGAACCGAAAGGATCACGGCCTGAAGCAGCACGGACTGTCGGATGACGCTGTGGAGGCTGGACACGACTTCATCCACGATGCTGAGGTCGAGGAGGAGAGGGTAAGTTTGATACCGACTTTTGAATATTTGGCGACAGTATGCTGAATGTGCCTGTCCAGAGACACAGCGGTGATGCGGCCACGATGCCTTCCATGGCCTCCACCATGGAGCAGGCCAAGAAGAAGGTCGAATTGGAGGCGTCAAAAATTGCAGAGCACCTTCCTGGCAAAGATAAACTGGACAAGAAAGCCTGACAGACCATGGCCATGTCGTGTTCATGCAGTTGCTCTTTTTGGATATGTCGCAAAAGGCGTTCCGTTACAAAAACCAAATTGGCCAAGAACGAGTCCGTTCATGCCGCGCGGGAAATGGGAAACGCTTTTTTTTTTCAAACGGTCTAGGTTTGTAATTGGAAGTCCTTGAATTTGGTATTATTGGTATCTTGGGTAAATATAATTATCATACGCTTGGCCACTTGTAGTTCAGCCACGTCTCCAGGGTCGAGTTCCACACTCCACTGCCGAGTTGAACGTGAACCCACGCGTCCACAAAGTGCTTCCATACAATGTCTCTCGGGATGGCGTATCCAAGCTCCTCAAAGTTGAACGGCGCATCCGGGTTGGCGATGCAGAGCTGGCCCTCGTGCAGCTTCACCTGCAACTCGACCTCAATGAGATCCGAGATCATCGCGTCCGCAGTGCCGTCCAGCACCGCCTGGTAGACAGCGTTGTTGTCCTCCACCAGCACAATCTCGGCGTTCTTCAGGTTTGCGCGGTCAAAGGCCTCGTTGGTGCCGCCAGGGTTGACGGCAACCTTGACACCGGCTTGGTCCAGAGTCGCGAGGTCGGTGTACTTCTCCGCGTCGGCGCAGCGGATGCAAGCCGTCTTGCCAACGCGTTGGATCGCCGTTGAGAAAAAAGCAGTCTTGGCTCGTGCGAGGGTGAGGCTGACGCCGCCCATTGCGATGTCGAATTTGCCTGCGGCCAGGTCGGATGTGATGTTGGCCCATACAGTCTTGATCAGGCGAGGCGGACTGGGGAGACCGAGGGCGTTGGAGAGAGACTGCGCTGCGTCGATGTCGGCGCCGATGTACGTTGTGTTGATTGCAGTAGTGTTCGGCAGAGTGGTCTGGTTGGTCACGAGATACGTGAAGGGCTTGTAGTCTCCTGTTGTCCCGACATTGATGTATCCACGGGCCAGGATGGTGTCGAGCAGAGACGTGATGTTGCCGTAGGCAAGTGGCTCAGCGAGCTGTTGCGCACCGGCGCAGATGCCGAGGGCTGTTGCGAGCACGACGGGTGTCTTCATGATGACTTGCGTGTTGCTTGACCAGATGAGAAAGTATGAACCATCCGCCGAAGAGAGAGATTCCATCGCGGGCTCGTCTCTTTTTATTGTTCTTTCTCCAGGCCGATCCCGGGGCCCCGCAACCTCATTTCCCGGCAGTGGACCCTTATCATGGAATTGGAGTCTGCTCTCGATATCGGGGATTCTTCCATTGGTCAATTGGATATGTCAATTGGCGCCAAGGTCGCTAGCTGGACTGGCGTACGAGTCCCGGTCGTGACTGAATCATGAAAGTTTGCCGTTCAGTGAGCTTGCGATGAACGATTATCCGGGGCAACGGGAACGTCACTTAGATGCTGCACGTGTTGTTGCATTCGTCACACTCCTTGCCTTCAGACTCACATGCATCTTGTCAATCAAGGGCCCACTATTTAGCAAGGGTTTCCAGATTGTCGGGTCTGTTCCGTTTTGAGATGAACATTATCGATCTTGAACTAAGTGAGTCATTATCAGTCCAGGGGTGCATATTTCTGTCGTGGCTTATCGTGATCAGGTAAAGATCTGGCTTGTGTTGGCTTGCTTGTCTTGCTGGGACGATTGTTATTTCTGCAGCCAAGGGGCGTATAAGCCCTGGCCTTTGATACTGGCCGTCCCAACTCGCGCGGACTTGCTGATTTTGGCCATGGCGACATTCTGACTGCCACACTCTGTCAGTTCTGGGCCCGCTTTTGCCTAATCGCGAACACGCGGGTCGGCTACACATCCTACCGAAACTCACCGTCAACACTTACTCAAGAACACAAGCCCGCAAAGAACTCAACAGAATGTTGAGAATCATATTCTCTGCTGAACAGTCAATATCTTGACCATCACGGCCACATGAAATGTCGGACCTAACGCACGCAGTTGTTAACCTTTCCCAGGGGCCTGATGACTATGAGTCCTGCATAAAAGAGATCCTGTGCTTGCAGTACAACCGTGAAGTGAGTACCCGTCTGATCACGCACCTACGCAGGGCAATGTTGACGGGGAAAAGTCACTGAAGTTGTGCCTCTCCGCCATAATAATGGCAGAGTCTATAGAATCCGCCTAACACAAGCGCAACACTCTCCGCCGCCACTCAATAAACGCTGCGGTGCTTCTCCCCTGCCCCCCGATGCCACCAAAATCATCATACGCTTCTCCGACCCAGCATCGATGTTGAACGAGAACATCCGCGTGCAGAACGAAGTCGCGGTAATGTCCCTTGCAAGAGAAGCTTTGAAGCAGCATGATCCTTCCCTCGTATCCGAAGTCTATGGCTGGCGCCCCTTTTCCGAAGGGGTTGGATGGACTCTCATCCGATTCAAACAAGGTATTCTCCTCTGGGCGATAAGTTCCCCACGCTTGACAGCGAGAAGAAGAAAGATCTGTTGCGACAGATTGCCCAAGTCAACTTTGGTCCTGATGGAAGCTTGATTGGTAGTCCCACACCTATTGCAGGTGACGGACCTTGCGCGACACTGTCTGATCTCTACCAAGAGTACTTCAAGACTCATATTGGGTTTGCCGATGAGTGTGACATTGTCCGGGGTTGGGAAGACTCAGATCTGAGAACCCGATTGGATCAGTTTGACGTCAAGGGTCTCAAATCTCTTGTTAGCAGAGTGGAAGCACGACCTGCCTTGGTGCATGGTGATTTTGGTACGTGACCTCTTCCACATCCGGATGGGGTGACTTGATCATTTTGCTGATTGGGTATTTAAGACGGAAACAATGTCTTGTTCGACGAGGCCACAAATAAACTGACTGCTTTGCTGGACTACGACTTTGGCCACATTGGCTCACAGGCGGATGAATACTTCTACTCACTCCATCGTATCCACGGACTCATGATTCCCCCTTTGACCGGCGAACCTGGAAGAAGAACATCTTCGAGCCTGTCTTCTAAACGGTTTCACCAAGGAAGACGTGCAGCGGCAATCCGAATCCATTGGCTGGATGCCCGCCATCATGACAGACGAAGGATTTAACCAAAGCTGGCGTGGAGCGACCGGCTGACATTCAAGGTATCGATGATCTTTCTGCCGTGTATTGGTTTATTCAAAACATCAGCCCTCCCATGTTTTTCCTCAAACGATGGAGGGCCAAGGCTACCGCTGAACGTATCGAGATGATCAAGCGGGAGGCCAGGAACAACTTGGAGAAGAAGCTAGATCTTTGGGGTTATCGAAGTCGGCACCAATATGGTGGCCTCGGGAAAAATGGTCTTCATTGTTAGCAATCAGTCATGTTAGCATTCCTCTTCTGTGGTATCACGGGGGACACGTAGCAGCCGTCAGCCTCTATCGCCTAGGTAAATAAATAGGTTTACATGTCATGCCTGTCGCGCTTTCCACATGTAGCCTTGAAGTGTTCTCTGCAATATGCCCTGCATGTTGATGAAATTACCCTTGTTGCGTTGCCCTTAACTTAGCAAAACTGTGTCGTATTCGAAAGGAGAAGGTCCAAACCTCAGGCAACTCTTCCAATCCAGATTCCACAGTTGCGTTGAACATAAGTTCCCATACCTCCGTAATTTCATCTCGGTGGACTTAATGGAGAAACGTTCTTCTCTCCTTGTTGCTCCTCTGTTGCATCAAGCTCGTAGGTCGGTCTTACCCCGGTCATCTCAAGTCGCGGTTCTACTGTTTCCAGCTCACTGGGTCGCCTCCTTTGAGAGTTAGGCCAACGCTGTTGAGACCACTGTTGTCCTTCTTGGACAGGAACTTCTGTTGAAGGCTGCTCTTCCGGGTCCCCTTTTTTCTTTTTCTTCAAGAAGTATATCCCGGCAACCACAAGTGCAATTCCGGCGACACCGCCAACAACACCGCCAGCTATAGCTCCTGCAGGAACGCCCGCCGGTGGATCTTCGTCGCCAGAGGCGTTCGTGTTGGTGGATGCGGTAGTAGAGGCGCTGGCAGAGATGCTGGTAGGCGTGCTAGTCATCGAGCACTGCGACAAAAGCGTGGCCGAGGAAAGAGTCGTGGCCAGAGCAGTCTCCTCAGTTCCCGTACATAGAAACACCAGCCCATTTACTTGCCCGGTATTCTTGTAAACACCCACATCCTCAGAGGCACAACACCAAAGGCCGTCGTCTCTGTCGTTGGTTCCCCACAGGCTCATCGTTGGATCTGGACACTAATTTATATAAATTAAGCTCGGGTCCCGAAAATTTAGGTAGATGCCCTAAAGAAGGTGTTATACCTTTGGATTTTTGATTGCCTCTTTCATGCAACTATTTTTGTCTATTCCGGAGTATGTGATTAGCAAACCCCATTCGGTGCTTATCAGAGAAGGTTATAGAAATCTAGTTGCCGTTTGGAATCTGACTAACCTTTGCAGCAGTATTGATTCTCAAAATCACCTGCGCCACTGCATACATAACGATCAGGACAACAAAGAACTTGTGAATTGTCCCAAGTCGAATTGCAACGTTTTGATGCAATAGTCGTACAACTAGACTCGCGGCGCATCGACCAACCACCATCGTAATTACAAACATCGGCGTATGCGACGTTTCTGGTGAGAAGAATGAGCGCAAAAACAACGAAAAACGCCCACGTTGTGGAAGAACGAAGGCCTCCTAGATGTGTACCCGGCGACATTGTGATTGGGCGCTCTGGATCCGCTTCATGCACCGGACTATAGAGAGTTGAAGAGAAAAGAGTGAAGTTAGAAGGCTCTATTGCGATGGAAAAAAGAGCGACCGGTCACATAGAAAAGGCAAGGGAAGTAGTACAGCACACAAGGAATGGGCGGGCGGCCGCCAACTTGCCCAACCTCGCGTGTCAGCCCTGCGGTGAGCAACATACAGCGCCAGTTTGGCATTGATTGGCTGCATGCTCACACGTCCTATCTGCTGTCGCGTGCCAGAATGCAACAACATTGTTTCTTCTGTGCCGTTCAGCGCTGAAAGAGAGCACGTCCAGTTTGTGCAAGCCGTAACGTCGACCAGTACGACACCAGTATCACGCGAATCGATAACCTAGCGCCTCGGCTCAGACCAGGGAAAAGGAACTGCAGCAAGCGGTCAGCTTTTAGCGCAGGCAGCGGGCGCTAGGTATGCGTGGGGGTTGTGGCGTCCCAGGCAGCCGCCACTCTCATACGCTTGTTGGTTGAGGTTGGGATGATGGAGGATCCAGGCTGAATTCCACATTCTTTTGTTTTGCTAGGGGGTGGTGAGGCTTCTCGAATGTGACATAGATTGACGTCTGACACTGCGGGTCTGGACAACCTAATATGCACTTCAACACTCCCCAGCCTTGTTTTACGAGGAGGATTCTGTGTGTGTGTGGCCTATCTGACCTTAACTGGCCTCCGAGTCCGAAGTGGCCACATGGAGTGTCATCTGATAATCTATCATGCCAAGTACACTCGAAACTGAAGGATTATGGGATATGATTAGGGTTATCTGTATTGCTGCGAGCGCCTTCGTCTTCGGTAAGACAATAAACCTTGGCTACAATCTTTCGGAGTGACGTTCCACATGCACATTGAATTGTGTGGCGTCAAGAAACTCAAACAATCTTACATGTGCGCGCCAGCTCTTGAATGCCCAGGTTCATGGTCTTGAGTAGTCTCGTTCTCGCCAGGCTGCTTGTGCAGTTTTGGAGCATTTAACCCGATGCGGTACGGAAGAGCCTATCTGTTTGTTGTCTCTCACATTGTTCAATGATTAGAGACTGATATCTCACCCTCTACATGTACACGTAGGGGGTCTATGTTTGCATCCCTGTTTCTCGGCAACAAAGCACAAAAAGGCCGTCGCTGTGATCGATTCATCCACCCTGTGTTTGGTATTCATTCATCTCTCTTATTCATTGATTTCCATCTTCCACACTCTTCACCGAATTCGGCATGAACCAATCGGCTCGTCAACGGGTTTGATCACGTGTACTTGTCGAACATCGGGATTGCACACGTAAGTGAAGACAACGGCGCTGAATTTCAAGACCCGCTAACTAAAGTTCTAACTTCTGTTTCTGTGTTATACTTTCAACTGGAAAGTAATTAATCGTAACATCCAATTCTTGCCACCCGACCCAGTTTCGTTCTCCATCGCGGTCAACACTGCTCTCGTCTCGTCATACAAGTCTTGAATTACTACCCTTGTATGCTCCAAGCTGCCTGCCTCCTCCAGCTTCTCGCGAATCAACAGTTTCGTCTCAACCGACAATTTGCCATCATTATTCGAAGATGCCGATGCAGATCGCGATGCCCGTGCGCTTTGAAGAATGCTGTGCAGCTGGACGTCACCTTGTTCCTCCTCGCGGTGAAGTGCGTGGATGAGCGGCAGAGTGAAGCTGCCCTCATCCAGATCGTCGTATGTCGAGAGGCATTCCGACGTGATATCCTGGTAGTCGTCGCGCAACTGGTAGAGCCTGCCGAGAAGACTCATCAGTTTGCAGGCGTCCAGATGCTTGTTCTGTGTCGCTGAGGCGCGCATCATGCGGGAGGCCATGCGAAAGAGCCCGCCAGTCTTTTGCTCTAGATGGCTGTAGTACTCGGGTATCGAGGGCGCCTTGCAATGGAAAGTCCATGCTAGGTCGTGGCTTTGGCCGAGGTGCAGCTGGCCGAGTTCGGACAAGAGGCACGACAAGGCCTCGTCGCCCAGCGGCCGAGCCAGCTCCACGCACTTGATCATTAGATAGCTCGCCGAATTTGTGGTCTGAGCCGTGCCGAAGACGACATGCGCACTCGGACTGCCCCTCCTCACGGGCGAATTGTCTTGGACGTCGTCGAGCATTAGACTGGCGTTGTGCATGATTCGAATAATGGTGCGGATTGTAGCCAGGGCGTCAGGAGGAACGCGGTACCAATTGTCAAGCGCGTCCATCAGCTTGTCACGGGCGCCGCTTGCAGGCCTTGCCGCCGTGTAAAGGTAGGCCGCCAGAATGTCCTTCTCGTCCGACTCGGCAGGCCAAGCGCAGGGCGAGACCGTCAGTAGATCGGCCCTTGTCTCGTGTGATGCCTTGGCCTTCTTCTTCTGGTCGTGACTGGTATCGGCGGGAGTCATGGTGGTATACTCGGTCCGCTGGCCATTCCAGAAAGGCCTGAGTCTTCGTGTGCCCAGACAGCTCGAGACCGGAGTGAGAATAATGCCGTCCGACTCAGGGCCATCTACAGGCCTGCTGACCTCGGAAACATCAAGCGGACCTTGGTTCATCTTGCCAATGTCTTCTCGTCTGGGAAGGGGAGCTGCCGGGTCGTATCGGCGCGAGGAAAGGTGCCACAGCGTGTTCCCGGCCATGCACATTTCTATCAGACCGATGTAGTGTGTGATGTGAGCTGCTGGCGAGTACTCAACCATGTAGCTCGCCTTCCTCTCGCAGTACTCGTCCTCGATTCTCGTGATCTCAGACAGCAGAAAGTCCTTGGCGGCATGTTGGTCGAGATCGTACATGACCATGTAGACCTGCACGGCGCTCATGTTGGATCCGCCTTCTTCGCGCTCCAGGTACGTGGCTGCTTCTTTATCCCATGAACAGTAATCATGCCATAGAATCATCTGCGTGAAGGCCAGCCAGGTGAGGGGCTCCAGACCTGTGAGCTCCTCATCGGTGAGGCTTATATCGCAGCAAAATAGGATTTGCGACCAAACCGAGTAGGCTCCGGCATCGTAGTGCCGCACGTGCATGTACGAGTCCAGTGTCTTGTGCTCCATGAAGGCGTCCTGTCCGCGAACACTCACGATGCCCTTCCACTTCTCTATGACGAGCTTTCCTAGCCGTTCGTCCTGTTCGAGCGCCTCGATGGCGACGCGTGCCTGCATCGTGTTCATTGCGTTGTGCTTGGTTGTGTGGTCGCTTTGCTTTGACTCAGAACCAAGGAATCGCGCCAATGGTCCGTGGACCTCATCGAACTGTAATAAACAAGCAATTAGTATTTGGACCACAATGGAGGCATTCATCGTGATTTGGATCTCGACGTACCTGCTCTGGTGTTACAGCATCGTCGGTAAGGTCTGCATGCATCGAGTTAGCGGACCTCGGAAGCATGTCGAGAGAGATTTGGACCTCCTAGAATCTGAGTACTGACCATCGTGACGAAAGAGAAGTTCAGACAGGTAGGATATAATATGGAGTCTCTCCGGTATGGCCTCTGGAAACCATAATGCGTTGACATTGCCGCCAATGGGGTTGATGCATCCAACGCTGTCGGCCTTCAACTTCAACCCAGTCGCGTTTTCAAAGTCGTCGCACGCCTCCCAGCACGCCTTGTCGGCCACGTCCACGTGTTTGCTGATTCTCGGACGGAACTTGGAGGGGTAGGCAGTGTTCTCATACAAAGATGCAGGTACCGGAACCGAGGACTTGTACCGCATCGGACCGCAGTCTTGGTAGTTCATGATTGTCGAGGCCATGGCGGGGAGAGACAAGATGTCGCGAGGCGCATACCACGAAAAATGTCAAATTCGACGGGTGGAGGAGGAGGCTGAGGTACAATATGATACAGCAAGGTACTGGTACCGGAATGAAAAAGGACCACGCAACCCGAATGGATATAACCCAACAGGTGAACAGAAGAGTAGTATAATCAATACTGAAAAGACACAGAGGTCTACAGAGAGGCGTGAGACGAGGTCAACAAGACACTGATAACCTCTCCTGATTGCGAAGGAGGACACATCGTGGTTTCTAAGTCTCTTGAAGACATATCGGTTTCGATCGACAGACCCCTGGAGTTCATGCTTCAGAGATAAACAAGCCTGATTGAAGCTCGAGTCATACCGTCTTGAAGGGTTCGCCAAAGCGAAAATTAACACGACGGCAATGCTTCGGAACGCCCGAGATTGACCGTTTCCACCGGCAATACCGTCGTGACTCGCGAACGCGTGACTCGTGAACCGTGCTGGTTCGGTGAGTGGTTTTGGAAGAGAAGGGGGCAAATGTCACCAATTGCAGGCCATGGTTTATTAAACAATGCCTTCTACTCTGCCATTATCTTTCATTTCAACCAGGTCGACGGGCATCTTGAAGTTTGCCCAGACATCAACACCATAACCCACCATGACAGTCCTCGGGCTTCTGAGTGAGCGCCTGGCGTCGCTGCCTATGTCAGTCTGGACAGCGGCACTCATTATTCTGGCCGTGATATTGAAGGCGACATACAACCTCTTCTTCCACCCGCTTCGCTCTTACCCGGGACCTCTCCTTTGGCGAGCCTCGAGGTTTCCCTACGTCATCCGCTACACCCAGGGCCAAATCCCATACGACCTGAAGCGCCTGCACGCCAGATACGGGCCCGTGGTGCGAATTGCGCCCGACGAGTTGACATACAACTGCGCCGAAGCCTTTAGAGACATCTATGGACGTAACAAACAGGCCAACGGCGAGACCACGCTCTTCAACAAGGACCCCATCTTATATTCAGCCGTCTTTGCCGAACACAAGGCGCTGATTGACTCGGACGGCGACGAGCACCGGCCGCAGAAGCGGACGCTTGCCTATGCCTTCTCCCATCAGGCCTTGGTTGAGCGGGGCCACATCATCACGGGATGCATTGACAGGATGATCGAGGGCCTGAACGCCCATATTCGGTCGCCCTCGCTCTCGGGTGATGGCAGTTCGGCCGTGGTCGACATTGGGGCGTGGACCGAGAATGCACTCTTCGATCTCGGCGGGCAACTCACGGTGGGACGCGACCTCAACGCCATCATGTCGCAGGGCACTGTTCACCCTTCATTGGCGCTCTTCAAGAGGCTTTTCGACTGGGTGCAGTGCTATTATCTGCAGTTCCGCCGAAGCCCCAAGATCCTGGTCAACGCCATCGAGGGCATGCCTGGATTCACGGGCTACGACTGCGTGTTGCCGGTCAAGGAGGTCCACGACATGGTCCTCAAGCGAATGGCCGATGAGAAGCATGCAGGCGGCGACAACTCTGGTGACTTTGCTTCTTACCTGATGAGTAGAGCAAAGAGCGAGGGATTGCAAGATGACAAGGTCTGGATCAACTGTGTGCACTTGATCCTCGGAACCCCAGAGGCCATGCCCTCTTCCATCATCAGCACCATCTACCACTTGTTGACGACGCCCTACGCGTATGCCGAAGCCGTGAGAGAGATCCGCGCCGCTTTCAAGTCGTCGCATGAAATCACGGCTCAGGATGTTCAGAACCTTCCTTACCTGCTCGCTTGTTTCCGGGAGACGCTGCGCAGACGTCCAACCATACCCGGAACTCTCACTCGCCAGGTTCCTCCAGCTGGGGCCCAAATTGTAAGTCCCTTTACAACATACCTCTCTCTTTCTTCCGGCGGTGTATCTAATTAAAAACCCCCAGTGCGGCGAGTTTGTCCGAGGAGGCACCATCGTCGGCGTCAACCAATTCGCCACCTCTCGATCGAACTCCAACTTCTACGACGCCGATTCTTATCGGCCCGAGCGCTGGCTTGATAACAGACCAGCTGAGTTTGAGAACGACGACCGTGATGCATTCAACCCGTTTGGCTACGGCCCCAGGAAATGCATTGCGAGAAATCTTGCCCATCTGACCACCCAGACCTTTCTCGCCAAGCTGCTCTGGGAGTTTGACATGGAGCTCGATGAGTCGTGTCGGAACTGGGATGACCAGGGCCTGTATGTTCTTGCACGGCGGGGTCCGCTACTGATGAATTTGAGGAAGGCGGCCCATTGATCGCTGGTAGATTGGGCGGCGGACAAGTTGGAATGTCACTTGTTGGACATGAATGGTGCTTCGAGCAGCTAAAGGCGGAAATTAGAGATGGTATGGGTTGTGACTGTAGGCAGAGCTATTTTGGTCCGAGCTCAACCTGTGGTCCTCCCTCATAATCCCTCGAGAGCATCTGGCGAAAGGGAAAAGATTGAAGCGAAATGGATGAAAATTTAAGAAAAAAGATGAGAAACGGGGAGAGTCAGAGAAAGAACAAAACGATATCCCCCCACATTTATCACAGCTTGTAGACCCCTATTGATCACAACGCGTCTCTCGATATGCTGCCCCACTCCTGAGTTCTCGAGCAACGTTCCTGATACCTCTTACGAAGTAGCACTACACGCATTCAATCTAATCAGACAGCGCCCATCGTTTGATCTACCCGTCGGGTGGTGATCTCGGCCGTGGATGAAGCGGAAGTCTAACTAACGTTGAGCTAAACATGTGGGTAGTTGCGCTCAAGCGGAACCAGCGGCGAATGGCAGGGAGTAGCGGGAAAACATGAGAGATGATTTAACCGCTCGGAACTGATGTCTTTAATTTAGCCCACCTTGAATGAGTGCCAGTTGTGTGTCAGTCGAGCAGATCTGGGGATAAAGTTCACAATAACGCGAGGACGTCGGAAGCGCTCAGTTGCTCAGGTTAAGGAGAACTTGCCAGTGCCGATGCACTCAATGACGATGCGGCCACAGAGACTGGCTGACCGTGAGGATGCAAAGAGTTTCTATGAAGAAAGTCTTGCACAGTAGATCAGCCGTAAAGACCACAGAAATGATTCAATACTTGTTGCAAGAGACAGCCCGATATGCGACCGGCAGCCAATTGGGCGCATACGCACGGGAGCCCATATCTTTCACATTGTTCTTCACGACCTCCCAAACCCCCTTTACAACCTCAGTCCTTGCCCATCGCTCCATCGAATCTCGGTCACGAAACCGCGCGAAAATTCTCGCACTGATCTCGTCGTCCTGCCCCCGCAGCGCCAAGAACGTGAATACGTCGTCATCATCCTTCGCTGCGCGACACAACATCTTCAAAGCTCCGAGAACTTCTGCACGCGCTGCAGAGTCTGTGCATCGTATCTGAGTATCTTCCATGATGCCACACTCCGCCCCTCGGCCGCTGCGGTCGAGGAAGCCGCCCGCGACGTCGTAGTGCACGAGGTCTAGGCCCGTCGCCATGACAGGGAGCGCGGCTGGGAGGAATGATGTTGCCATCGTTTTGGACTTCAGGTGTACATCGTAAAGGTCCTCCCGTGAGGAGTATATCTCGAAGGCGAAGAGGTAAGGTGTCCGTGATGGGTTGTCAGCGTACTCGAGGGGGAGCCCAAAGTAATACGTGATAGTGTTGGGCTCTTTGGCGAAAACGTAAGTCGCCAGATCGTCGTATGCTGCCTGCCACTGTAGTCGTCAGTTCATGGACAAGATAGAGGAGAAATGAGGGCCACACGTCGCCATAGTGGTCCGGAACGATGTTAACATTCCCGAAGAGAATCAATTTGCCATCCAGTGACGGAACTCGAGGGCTGACGGAGGACTCAGAAGCCATGCTCCGCAATGAAACCGAGAAAAATGGTATTCTAGCGGCTACTTGTTTCTTGTAGTATGCGTTTGGTGAGCCATTCGTTGCCATACAGGTTCGCAAGAGGCTGCGTCACCTTATCTAGGACTATCATACACCTGAGACCTGATGTGGCCTCTCATTCAAGACTGAATGTACCTCAACACGCCACTGCTGCTTACACTGCATCAAGCACAAGTCTCAGCTATACAGTCGCTGCGGGCAACCCCGCAGCCGAGAACATGGTCTTTTGTCACAGGTCAAGGTCGCCCGGAATAACATAATCGAGATATTCATTTCCTGACCAATGCGATGCGTATCAATCGCACAGCCTCCTTCACGGGGAGGGTCGAACAAAAGGATTCGAGCAAGATGAAAGGCAAAAGAGTGGATTGGCGTCGTAATCTGCTACCAAGCTACGAGAAACTTTGTCCTTCTCCGACCGGCGGCTCTTTGGATGATCCAGCATGTTGAGAGCCGCGGTACGCTTCTGGTAGCGCCAGAGCAACATCCGATATTCAACCCCTCAGCGCACCCAGTTCGACCTCAATAGGTCGCCCATCGATTGTGTCGATGCCATCGGGGTGCTCTCTCGTATGCACCAGAGCGAAGAAGTCCATGCCTTCGATCTCTTCCTCGGTGAAGTTGGTCAACTGTGTGTGAGATCTCACATCCAAATAGTTCTGGCAGTTCTCGCAGCTGTCCACTTCCCATCGGCTCAGAACCGGCTTGATGTCAATAACCTTCTCAGGCTCCCCATTCTGTCCTTTCACCCATGTTGAGACGATGAAGGATCCACGAATCTTCGACCGATTGATTCCGCTTACAGTCAGCTTCGGGGCGTTGACCGCGTCGGCTTCCCGAATGGCTGCATTAGCCTTTTGCCACTGGGGCTTTGTGTAGTCGTAGCCAAGCTTGACAGTGTCGATTACATCCTGATCTTATTAGTCATCATACAGACCGGATCAAGTCAGGATTTATTGACCTTCGAGGTCATCCATCGCTCGGTTCCCGTAATGGGATCTGTCATGGTGAATGGTTCAAGTGGCGTGTCGTTGTCAGCCCCCTTACTACCCTGCATGCTGGGGGTAATGTCAAGATTATCCTTCTGGTCGTGCTGGTCCTGCCACGTCCAGAACATGTAGTCAACGAAGCAATGGTGGAAGTAGAAGACAGGGTCGAAGGCTGCCGTCTAATTCTCTCCCATGTCGCCTTGCGAAGCTGAGTGAACAGATGGGGCACCTGGGACTTGGAAGCCACCAATAGCCAGATGCATAGAGTTGTGAGGCAATTCAAGTGGGACAACAGTGGGGACTTGGGAATTTCCCGCATTCATCGTATTCCATTCCTGGGCGGAAGCTATGTTGGAGAACACCGTGTAACTCGGTGCGTCCAGGGATCGGTGGTAGTTCTTTGCCACGCCAGGAAAAGACCCAGGTGCGAGCCACTTCCTGATGTTCTCATCCAAAGCTCCGGTGATCGTCTTATGAGGCAGCGCTTCGAGGCTACTGTTGCGGGATTTGACCTCCGCAACCTCCCTAGAAGCCACCCTTCCGGAGTAAGGATAACGAACAGTGGTGTAACCAACAGGCTTCGAGTGTGTGGCGTTGCTGCTGAACTTAAGGCCATCCACGGCCTTCTGCATGGTGTAGGAGTACAACGGGTTGTTGATGGTGTCACCGGTTGCAAAGGTGTAGCTCTTGTCTGTGAAAATGGACGGAAGTCCACCTTTCAGAGAGCTCTCAGATGTCTGATTCCAGTAGGGCAAAGCGAGATGCCCACATCCTGGAGCACTTTGCAGAGCTTTCTCCACGCGCAAAAGATAGGCTCTGTGCCCTCATGGGAAAAGTACATTCCCATGAGGGCAGTACATCTTCTGCGAGTTTCCCTCAGGTCCAGGGAAGCCATGGTAGCTGGCGAGAGCGAAGAATGAGTTGGGATCTTCCGGGCTGAGCTTGCCGATGTAGTCGAAAGCTCGAATCAGATTATCACGCACCGATTGAGAAAGCGTCTTAATATCCTTTCTGACGTGTGACTTGAGCATAATGGTGATAGTCACAGATGGAGGTAATGCGGACGAGGATATGTGAATTAAAAAATAGCTTTAAAACTGCGGTAAACAATGACAATGCAGTGCATGCAATTGATAGATTTCTACTTCGCTTTATATAAGGGACGTGCGAACATTAGATCGAGATCTTGGCCTTATTGTCCCCTCCTCTGATGATCCCCTACACTTGTGCACAGCAGATATCTCTTAGACATGTACATGTCAGCGGGAAGCTCATACGCGGCTGACAGTTGTGCAGGATAAGTATCTTTCCCCAGAGAAGGATATGAGGTTACATTCACCCATAAAAGACTCACGGTGCTAGGTGTTTGCGTCTACTATGTTGGAAGGTCGGCATGTGAAATACAAATCTCGTGTGGGTTTCCGATAAGAAAAGCCACTGTCTTAAGCGATCGCGGTCATACAGCCGGTGTCGGCATGCACATGTCGAACCTCACTGTAATGGTGAGCGAGCTTCATAACCCGATGTCTTAGAATCTCATCGTCCACAACGTCTGTAACGGTAGAAAACGTGCCAGTTCCTAACGACGGCGAAAAGTCCCTTTTTAGACGTATTGAGCATGACAGGATATGAAGATGATGGTTCACCACAGAGAACTCCGGATGTCCCAACTCGTGACACATGTTTCTAAACACCAATGTACTGTACTTTGATCTGGGTGTTTCTGGTGAAAGCCGGGGTGGGTTGAATGTCTCGGGAACCAACAGAGAATCGTTCCGAGATGCCTTGGCAGACATGCGATCAACCGCTCGATATGTGACCGGTTCCCCCTCTTCTGCTTCGGGAACCAATGGGATTGAGGGGTTCACGTTCGCCGAGCGGCTTCCTCACAAAATGCCTCTCGAACCCCTCATTTTTGACGTCATCTTGAGCTCCCACTGATATATTCATGTAGCGCGTTCCAAGTTGCGGTGCGGTCAAAAGTGTGACCTTGGAGCCTGGGCTTTCAATAGATATTGGTTGAATAAAATGCATTTCTACGGCATCTTACGTTCTCAATGCATTACATGTGTCACTGGCCGTTACAAAACGAAGGGTCGCATAAGCGTCAGTATTGATGTGTTCCAGAAATCTTTGAGGGCATTCTTCGAGTTGCGTTGCCCAATTTGATGTGCGTGGTCCAAAAGCTTTGCGATGAGCATCTACAGAAGAAGAACGCATCTAGACGAGCACAGATTCTTTCTTGAAGGGCAATTGCACGAAAATAACGCAAGCTTCACGGTGTCATCGATCACTGACGTTCATGCATCAATATGAGAGTGCGGCTATCCTCGGCTGGGACAAACATCTTGCCATGGGATCACCATGCATGAGTTTTCCCACTATTCAGATCTCTTAGACTGGCTGTTTTCAGGTGTAGTGAACTTCGCTGTTGCTTCGTTGGCCATTTCACTATGTTTCGCCAAGCTGTCGCTTCTCACCGAGGTAGTCTGGCATTGCTCAGCGTTCCACTTCGCCTCACCGGAAAGCCAATGAGCTGATGGTGGCATTTCAGAGCTTGATCTCCATTTGCTTCTTGGTACTTGGCTTGGACACGGGCCGAACGGTCTTCTGTAAACCGGTCAATATCGTGGAGGCTTGGACGCGTGGACTTCTGAACGGGCTGGGAAGCTGTTTCAGATCACGCTTGGTGTAGATCTCTAGGATCCGCCCTGAGCAATGAGTACCTGCGCGATTTAAACACTAATCCCAGCCCATCCACATAGGTATTCTATTGACCATGTACTCGTACTAAAGTAAGTGCCTCAGGCATACATGCTTTAGCTCAATAATAAAAAGCCTCCAGTCGCGTAGACGAGTGGGGTGCATCTGAATCCCCCACGTATGAGGAAGGCACAGTGACGCATCGTCTTTCAGCTCTGTCCGCATCTAAACGAATTAGTCACACGTTTGCACTGCTGAATGATAGTTTTCGTTGTCTTGGTTACCGGTGTGCCACTGTGCCAACGAAGTCGGTTGGAGTCTGTCTCCACATTGATCATCGGTCCAACTGAATACTACATGAGACACCCCGGAGATCGCTGAATCCTATTAGCCAATGCTTCTTTTCCTAGCCCTGTACCCCTTTAGGCTCTGCGGCTGTACCCGTGCGGTAGGTCTCCCGGCATGCAGCCATATGCATTTAATTGTCAAATGGCATGATCTTTGCTGCCCTACACATATTGCCACAGCGACACAAATCGCCCTCAACCACTGCTGGCGTCTATTTCCACGACTCTCTACGTCTTGGTCTCCTAGAGTCACGGAAAACCGTTTCGATCTAACTCTGCTCCGAGCGGGGTTGTCACCTAACATCGGCAAGGTACGCGCTAGTGGTGCGACAATACTTATGCAGAGCATCTAAAATAGGTCGTTCTGAACTATATGTCCATGCCCGTCCAATGTTCGAAGATGCAAATATGGAAACGGTTGAAATCAACTACAGGTGAGAATCGTAATTGAGGAGCTCTCAAATCAGAGATGAGCTGCAACACTAGCCTGAACTAATGTGAACATCGCCAGATTGGTACCACATTGTCTCAAGGCTGCTGTAGTGAGTGGCACTTCGTATCCATACGGTCCGGCCGTTGATCTGCAGGTTCTCACGACATGACGTGGTGGAAGCTGGCGAGAATGGACTGAGAATGGACGCGGTGGCTCTGAAGCGGCATGCCACGGCAGACGGAGATGTCATCAGCGAGTCGCAATGTTTGTAAAATATGAGAAAGAAGGACGTATAAGGCTTCGGAGGAAATTGTTTATACATAGACGTCCGTCCTTCACTTCGGGTTCTCTCCCGTGAAATCCCAATCAAACAGTTCATTCTTCTTACTGTCTTCCAAAACCTCATCATGGCATCTTTCAAGACCACCGCTGCGAACGGGTCGTATCCTTACCTCAAAGAAACCTTCAAGGGCTCCAACAACGGATTCAAGAATACTACGCGTGACGCCGCCACAGTCCCCGAAGATGAGTCTCACCAGATCATCTCATCATACTTCATTGGGCCTCGGGCAGAGAACTTGCCATACTTCAAGGAGAACATCGACATCATTTTGAACAACCTCAAACAAGCGAGACTGGACTATCGCTTTGACAATGACGCAGTCAGTCTCATCTCCAATCCACCGCTTGTCGTAACCTCTCTGATAAAATGTAGGATTTCATCGACGAGAAAACGCAAGAATCTGCAGCCTTCAAGAGATCCAAGGACAAGCTTAGAAATGCAGTCGATAAGGCCTCAGAGATTCTTGGCCGAACAAGCATTCCTTTCTGGTCACCTCGGTACCAGGCGCACATGTTGGTGACTATCCATATACCTCCCGCTGGGATTACTCTCACCACATTGTATCAGGTGCACTGATATGAGCATGGCCTCACTGCTCGGCTACTTCATGACGATGCTCTACAACCCAAACAATGTCGCGCTTGAAGCAAGTCCTCTTTCGACACTCGCTGAGATTGAGGTCGGGGAACAGCTCTGCGACCTCTTTGGCTACAACATCAACGAGGAGAACACTGAGGCCCCTACAGGCTGGGGTCACGTCACATGCGATGGCACGGTTGCTAATCTTGAATCCATGTGGTAAGAACCTCCTTAATGATTGAGGTTTACATGCTAACCTGTACGGTCTAGGGTTGGTAAGTCATAAATAGTATCTACCGATCACCTATCTCAATGACTCACCGTATTCAAGCTCGAAATCTCAAATTCTACCCTCTGTCCCTTCGCAAGGCATTTGACGAGGGTCAGAAGCTGGAATTCCTCCAGGATAAATTCCACGTCGAGACTTGCCAAGGGGAACGAAAGCTTTTCACACATCTTTCGACCTGGGAATTGTTGAACCTCAAGCCGTCTGATGTCCTTGACCTCCCTGATCGACTTTACCAGGAACATGGAATTTCCAACAAGTTCCTCTCCGATCTCATGAACGAGTTCACCATTCAGTCCACAGGCAAGGACGATCTGGAAAGGGAGTTTGGTATCGACAGGCCCGGTCAATACATGCTGGCCAACACTCGACACTACTCATGGCCAAAAGGAGCTGGTAAGTCTTGAAGTATACAGAAGAACGTAGCGGACACTGATACATCTGGATTCTTACAGCTATCTGCGGCCTGGGTTCCAAGAATGTGGTCGGTATTCCCGTGGATCTGGGAGCACGTCTCGATATTACCGAGCTAGAGAACCAGCTTTGGGAGAGTCTTGAAAGCAAGCAGCCGGTCTACGCAGTTGTAGGAATCATGGGAACAACTGAAGGTATGATCCAGAAGATCCACTCCTTTCTAATATACCAGATACTGATCTGTCCATTCAGAGGGTGCTGTGGATAGCCTCAGCAGCATTCTCGCCCTTCGAAAGCAGTTCCAGTCGCGAGGCCTGTCATTCCTCGTCCATGCTGACGCCGCGTGGGGAGGATACTTCTGCTCAATGTTGCCGAAGAACTACCGCCCTGGCGACGTCATCAACCTTCCCACTGAGATGGGTGCTACTGATGGGTTTGTCCCTGACGCCAGCCTGCGCGCTGAAACCCAGGAAGATTTGTACGCCATGCGCTTTGCTGACTCCATTACTGTTGACCCGCACAAGGCCGGCTATATTCCTTACCCCGCGGGTGGTCTCTGCTACCGCGACAATCGCATGCGTTTCTTGGTGACATGGACAAGTCCTTACCTATCGCGTGGGTCAGTCACCAGTATCGGGATCTATGGGGTTGAGGGAAGGTCTGTCACATTCCAGAATGAGTCCACCTTTCCTCGAGTGAAGCTAAGACGCGGATAGTAAGCCTGGAGCTTCGGCCATGTCAGCCTGGCTGTCCAACAAGACCATTGGTCTTACCCAGGAGGGATACGGCGCCTTGTTGGGAGAGGTCACTTGGACCTGCACTCGGGTATGATCTGAATAACTTTCGTGTTTGAGGTCGTTCAATGTACTGACTACAATGTTTGTGCTGCAGCTTTCCGCGGAGTGGGCATCCCTGACCGACGCATC